ATCGTATTATTGGTGATTTAACGCGTGTGTCGTATTATTGGTGATTTAACGCGTGTATCGTATTATTGATGATTTAACACGTGTGTCGTATTATTGATGATTTAACACGTGTGTCGTATTATTGGTGATTTAACACGTGTATCGTATTATTGGTGATTTAACACGTGTATCGTATTATTGGCGATTTAACACGTGTATCGTATTATTGGTGATTTAATGCGTGTATCGTATTATTGATGATTTAATACGTGTATCGTATTATTGGTGATTTAACGCGTGCGAAAGTCAGAAATATAATTAATTCAGATTTGCCAACTTGAACTGGTTTAATTAGTTTTAAACCATATTCTTACAATTTCCATTCTTCAATATTCAACGGCAAATAAGAGAAATGTCGTTGGTAGTGACGGTAAAACGTCCGTGAAACACCGTATATCTTCAACACAGTTGGAGCTTTTTATAAAATGTGAACGCACTCGGTTTGCATATTCATAATTATGATTAGTTACTGAAATTGAGGCGTTAAAACGGCTCAATAAAATAAACATGACGATAAAAATAAATTATCCTTCCTATTATTATTTTGTATTTCAAACGGAAAGTCAATTTAATTTACATGTAATTGTAAATGTTATATGACAATGAGCTAAAATACCGAACGAATATGCATACTAGAAAGTTCAAGCTACGTATATGAAAACAACATTGGACAGCTGGAAAATAGTTGTTCGTCTTCAATTTAATTTGTCAACTATTTGTCTGATATTACCATAATTATAGGCCATATTATATAACATAACACATGTGTTTACCCATTTGGAAACTCACAGAAACATTTACTCAGAATTGCATAGATTAAGACAAATATGGAAATGATGAAAGACGCAGCTCTGTGTCTCTTCGTTTTGCGTCGACCAAATTACATTATGACAGTTGTGTTTTGTTTTTGTTTTTAAATTCCACATTAAATTTTGATCCTGCTCAAGTAGTTTACATTCAAGTTGTTAAAATGTTGATTTACAATTTTCATTTCATTTCCAGTCTGTGGCGTTTTTGGTACTAAATATATTCGTCATAATTTGTACCGTTTACGTGGTGATAGGCGCTATCGTTGGCACGATTGCCGAGCTGTGGTGGTTGTGGTTTGGACTACCTAGCGGCTTCGTCGTCCAGATACTCATAACCATGACTGGCTTGGCGCTCATGATCGTTGCATGCATCGGCGCGTGTAATCACTGCGTTGGAGGCGAAACTCGGGTAAGTTAGAGATTCCTCATTTAAAATGTCATCAGCATTTCTTATATGGGAATAATGTATGATTGTATGACAACAACTGCCATAATTAAGAGTTATTCAAATTGAGAAGTTATTTTGAATGTAGTAGTGTGTTCTGTCAAAGAAATCTGGAGATTGACTCATTTTACTAATAATCTACTAGCCTAGTTACCTTCTTGTATCGTGGGTTCGGGGATATTTGTGGATAATACCCACGGAACAAAATGAAGGTAACCAGGAACGTTCTGGGCTTAATTTATTTCACCCAGTTTTATGGCAGACTTTTACAGAAAATTTGAACGTCGATATTATTACTTTTAAATCGTTTCTATCTCAGACTCAGGTAGTAATGGTGAACCACAATGTACAGCAACCGGGGGTACAGGTGATTCAACAACATGGATACACAACAACGAACGCATACTACGGACAACAACCACAGCCGGTTACCTACATGACTGCCGGAACAGGACAGGTGGTATTACCGAACACAATGTCGTACAATCAGCCCATGCCACCAAATTACTCCGCACCACAACAAGCCCCACCTTACAGCCAACAAGTCCCGCCGTACAGCCAACCTATGGCTGCCGGATACAGTCAAGAACCGCCACCAGCGGGACAAGGAATGCCGCCACCAGCGGGACAAGGAATGCCGCCACCACAGCCTTCCGATAAATTCCCCGTGCCTCCTGAAAATGTCTAGCCGGTTCCGTCAAATTAGTTGGTCGGAAAAACGCACGTTCTTGAAGTTATGATTTATGTATTGCAGATAGTTTATCACAGTTTCTCGACAGCAATGTGCACATTCTATATTCTATATTCTATATACACATGATCATATTGTTTTGACCATTGCCCAGTGCCCACAAGTGTGAAAATGAATTTTAAATTGACACAGAAAGAGGTAAACTGAGTTTAAAAGCGCTGACATGAATACTGAATATTGCAGATGTGCGATGCGCGACATTACTTTACTTTATAATTTACTATTTGTAGTTACTGTCTGGTTATTTTACATGTTGTGAATATGTGTGACAAATACTCTCTGTCACGAATGACGTCATCATATCTATTTACATAATTTCCCACACACATTCCTTCTATGTTCTTGACATTGAATATTTTCTTGTTGCATAGAAAAAAACACATTGTTTATCTTGTTAACCTATGTAAATTTATATATATATATATATATACTATTTTATCATACTTTTGTGATTATTGGAAGTTGTACATAGTTTTTAAAACATAATGAACGCATCCATTGGTGTGGGATATTACTCTCTCCAAGAATAAAATACTCATACAGCAAACAGCCACCCGGGGAAATCAACACAGTAATTACGTCTGAAGCTAATACACACATGGGTGACCTAACTTGTTGTGGTCAACCCTCATATTTATCACATGGTCACGTTTTGATCAATGAAATCATCTGTAATTTAAGGATCTTAATTTGTTAATGGCATTTACACTCCGATTCCGTACAACGTATCATAGCATTGGCGGATATAGAGGAGGAACAGTGGACGTGCCCCCTAAAACCGTTGTTACTAGCGCAAATAAATCCCAATGATATCACAGTAAAGGTACACCCCTCCTAACTGAACATTCAATATCCGCCCCTGCTGAATAAGCGCAATTCAGTTTACAGTAATAGCAGCGACGTCATGTTTTACGTCCACTGATTTTATTTACGAATACCAGTATTATATTCCATTCGTGGTATATGAACAACAATGTTTTGCGCCCTCCGCGTTTAAATGTTGGTTTATACGACACTTCACTTTGACGAGTGTTATTTCCAGTGTTTTTAAAACCATGTGCATTGGTCCGTGTCTAAATATTTCGAATTTGACATAATATATATATTAAGAGTGAACATCATATTTGGTAGATTTATTACAATTATAATAATAAATTCACAGGGTAGTATTACAATATTTGTATTACTCATGTATATTACTAGTTCATTTTGCACTGAATAAAGTAATGCACACGTGTTCTGTAATCAGAATGAATATTACGTCACGTTGTTCTCTTTCTCTCTTATGTATTTTATCGTACATAAATGGTCTCCTTCACTTTATAATTTGTAGATTCATTCTATTTACTGTAAAATACTTTATGTTAGGTGAAACTATTTTTTCACTGAATTTTAAGGATATTTCGGGTGTTTTGTATAAAATTTATTTTCACTGGATTTAATTTTCAGTAAATTAGCGAAAATAAAGTATTTTACAGTAATTCATTTATAGAGCCCAATTCTTTCTTTATTGTGAAATAGTGCAGAAGGGGCGTTAGAGGGGGTACTTCTTTGAGTAAGTAAGTAGTCATATGACCCATTCCTATTCAGTGCCACGCTAATTTGGTTAATATTATTATAGGTTTCTGATTTCATTGGTACTTTCCAAAGTCGAAAAACTAAAAAATATCATTTTCAATTATTGAAATATTTTTCTAAAATGAATAAAATCATAGTTGAGTTCGGTTTTATTATTTCTTTTTCTCTATAATTATGGTTTTATATTAATCCACGAGAAGGGGTGGAACATTAAATCTTGACGGAGCTGGCATGATAACAATTTAGTGTCATTCTGGATTATGTTTCCATCTATTTATTATTTTATTTGAGATAGTTGCTTTCCAAGACTGTTCTTCACGTTTTTTCCAGTCTGATTTCATTTCTTTTTAATCCCCTCCCCTCCCGGACTCTAATGATTCGCCCCTTAGATGAAATGTAACATTGTTCATAGTAATAAAGATTGTCAATGTTACAAGTATGTGAGTAGACGTCATGTCGTGGTTTAGAAATACAACCATTATGGTTGCATCACGGCTTTTCTATGTACACATACTGTTGACAGTTTGACTTACAGCGAGTAAATCGTAATATTCTAATTTGCATAATTATTGCATAAATATTTCTACGTAGTAATGTATATAAGATCCTGTAAGTCAACAGTCAGCGTATAGGTCAGATGAATGTATCAACTAGGCAGGTTTGATACCAATCTTATTAAAATAATATCCTAGTTTGGGCTTTATTTTTTTCAAATATGTGTATAAATATTTATTTTCATTATAGATTTCCTTTTACTTTATTATATTTTAATTAATTTTTCATTTGCTGGCAGTTTTCAAAGAGGTTTGTTACTCGCGAAAGCCGTGGCGATAGTTTAAGTAATACGAAATAAGATGTACGTAATAATAATAATAGAAATATATAGTAAAATAAAATATATAAAATTAAATTAAATTCAAATTGTACTTGTTTTGCATAACATATACACAATATTAATACTACTGAATAATAATAAATAGCAACTCTCCGTGCTCGGAAAGTACAAGTCACAAAAATGAGAATGAAATCAACAAAATAGACTTTTCGTGACAAAACCATTCAGCACTGACTGGGGGAAATATATTTAGAAGAAGTAAGATACAATCAGAGACGAGTAGTAAGATACTAACACCAATCAGAGGCAAGTAAGAGAAATGCACTATAATTTGAATTCGTAGGCATCTGTTGAGAAAGTCTATAAATAAGACCATATAACTTTGTTTTTCTCAAATGGTTTGGTTTTATTAATTTTATTAATTCACATATTTGGGTGACATTGATGATATTATTACACATATTTACACTTCATATTCCTATTATGTGAAATGTTCATATAACGGTTCTCATAAGCCACTCCTTGTAAGCCTCGTGATGGAAAACTATGACGCGAATTTCAAATACCATCAAAAGATATATATGTATTTTTACAATCGAACCAGTTCTGCATCTCACCGATTACCAGCCTTGATCCAACAGTCAGCT